GCTTGATAGTTGCAGTTAAGCTGTGAGGGTCCAGGTGAGCTCAGCTGAGCTGCCAGAGATGCCAGTTCTTGGGTTGAAAAACCTTTTGTTAGGCTGAGTGAGCACCTGCAGCTGGTGTGTCTGTGTGCTGTTCCTGGATGGAAGAAATAGTAAAGAAGCCAGAGGCTGGCATGCAATACAAGCAAGAAAGCCAGTCAGTTAAAATGGCTTTAGGGGGTGAGGGACAGGCTGGGGTGGGAGTGGGGCAGGGGATGTAGCAACACAGGAAAAAGTGCAAAGGTACCTAGGGAGCCAGATGTCTGGCAGGTTGTAGTGTGTCAGAATTCCTCTACACTGAGTCCATGAGTTTCTGTACCTAGGAGGCTGAAGAAGTGAAGTTCATAGGCCCTTCTGTGAAAAGTGGTTTGTATATTATTCCCTCTCTGGATCAGCCCTGAGAGACTGGAGACAGAGAGGGATTTTTTTTGTGAGAAATGTGCCCCCACAGGTTGTTGGGTATTGTTTTCTTTGCTAGATTCTAGTGTGCAGTTTGTGGGGATACTGGACATTGTTGGAAGGTTTTGTGTTTTGAGCTGTAGGAAGTTGCTTCAGTCCTGGCGATGAGGTTAGGTTAGCAAGATTTGGTATTTGTTTGAATTTACAAACCACTTTTCACAGATGGGCCTATGAACTTCACTTCATCAGGTTCCTGGGTAGTAGGTACAGAAACTCATGGACTCAGTATAGTCACTGGCAGTGGAATTCTGACACACTACAACCTGCCAGATATCTGACTCCTGACTCTGACATCTGACACAGGCACAGTCAGTCACACAATCACCCACGTCACAAGTTTTGCCTGTCAGCAGCCTGAGGTGCAGGGTCCCATAAGCCAGAACACCCTGCACCTATCTCCCTGAAAGCTGGCAGGTTTTGTGGCCTCAGCAGGGGCTACCTTCCCTGCTCTTTTCATCCCCCTGTGCCTTCACACTTGCAAGTGACATGAGATTAGCTTTCAATAATTTGAGGTGCAATTTTCCAGACACCCCTGCACCTCTCTCCTTGAAACTTGTCAGGCTTCACGGTCTCAGAAGGGGCTACATGTTTCATCCAAATCAGGAAAGAAATAACAAAGTTATAGGCTGTTTCATGCTTCTCCATTATAGCCTTTGGGCAAAATGTCAAAACAGTGAAACTGTTTTGACAAAATGAAACAGAACAGCGGATTTGAATTGAAATGAAATTCAAAATGAAACACTGTTCCATCAAAATGTTGAAATGGAAGTCAAAAAGGAACGGTGCTGTTTTGCACAGGCCTACTTCTGAGGCAATCCTGCCCATGAGTTCCAAGTGAATGAATGAGTTCCCTAAGTGAGTCAAAGTCTGCTTTTCTGAAGTCCAGGTTCCTTACTCTGCTGCTCTCCATACTTGTTTTCCTCAGGATCCTGAATTCAATAATTGGACACCACTGCCCAAGTTGCCATGCACTATATTATATTCCTCACCAATTCTTCCTTGTTTGTGATCAGCTGGTCAAGAAAAGAATGGCCCCTAGTTGGCTGCTTCAGCACTTGCACCAGGAAGTTGACTCCAGTACTCTCCAAAAACTTCCTGGATTGCCTGCACATTGCTGTATTGCCCTCCCAGCAGATGTCAGGGTGATTGAAGTCCCTGTGGTTGGGAAACTTCTAGTAACTGTTTGAAGAAACCCTCATCTACCACTTCCTCATGGGCTGGTGATCTATAGCAGACACCCACCACAACATCACCCTTGTTGCTTTCCCCTCTGACCATAACCCAGAGACTCTCAACAGCCTATCTCCAGCTTCATACTGGAACTCTGAGCAATCATATGGCTCTTTTACATAAAGTGAAATTGCTACTACTCTTCTCCCTTGCCTGTCTTTCCTGAACAGTTTCTACCCATCCATGACAGTGATCCAGTCATATCATAGTTCTGGAACTGTACAAGGTCTTCCAATTCTTCCTGTTTGTTTCCCAGGCTCCATTCATTTGTATACAGAAACCCGAGGTAACTAGATGATTGCCCTGATTTCTCAGGAAATATTAGAACACCTCCCTTGTTGCCCACTCCTGCTTGTTCTTCCTTCAGGTCTCCTGCTTCTTTACTTACCTGAGGGCTTTAGTCTTCATCCCCTTACAAACCTAGTTTATTGCCCTCCTCACTAGGTTAGCAAGCTTGTCTGCAAAGACACTCTTCACTCTCTTTGCCAGGTGAATTCCATCTCTTCTCAGGAATTCTTCTTGGAAGAACATCCTATGGTCAAAGAAGCCAAATCCCTGCCAGCAAAAGCACCTGTGCATTCAGGTGTTTATCTTCAGGATGCACCTGCTCCTGCCCATGCCACTTTCCCTTGATCAGAAGGATCAACAAGAACTCAATCTGAGCCCCAGACCCTTTCACCCTTGCACCCAGAGCCCTGTAGTCACTTTTGATATGCTCAGGCTCTCTCCTGGCAGCATCATTGGTGCCCACAAGGATAAACAGCATGGAGTAGTAGTCAGAGGACCATATGAGCCTCGGTAGTCCCTCCGTGACATCTTGGATCTGGGCTCCGTGCAAGCAGCAGACATCCTGAGACAACAGGTTAGGTCAGCAGATGGCTTTTTCCATCCCCTGCACAAGGGAGTCTGCAACAACCACCACCCATCACTTCTTCTTGGTAGTGGTCAACTCAATCATTCCTACCTTAGTAAGGCTTGGCTTGTCTTCCTCCAACAGTGGAGCATACTCTTGTTTTGCTGCAGTTAGGGCTGCACATCTATTCTCTAGATGAACCACTGCAGGAAGAGGTGAAGATCTCTGCTTGCTGCCAGAAGTCACAAGCCCCCAACTTCCACCCTCTTGGCTGTCCATGTCTTCTCTCTTCTCTATCACTGTGTCTAGCATTTCTTCCTCTACAGTCCTGGCGGTCTCCTCTAGCACTGAATCAATGAATGCCTCATGGCAGAGGATGCTTTGGAGCCTTGCCACCTCTACCTGTAGTTCTCTTGCCTGTTGCCCAAGAGACATCACCAGGAGGCACTGCTCACACCACAGGCACTCCCTGACTTGGCTGTCACTGGAAGGAACCTGCAAGCTGCAGCCCCCACAGCACCAAACCTGGACCTGGGTGGAAGCATCAATGGTGAGCAGTCCTACCTGCACAGAAGCCTCACAGGTGCAAGCACAGGCAGTGGCAGTGGCTATGGCATTGTGACATCCTCCAGCCATTTCCATGGATCTCTTATTCTGTCTTCTCGCTCTTACTGCTCTTCTTACAAGCAGACCTTCCCTAATGAAGTGGCCTTGAAGCTGGCCTTTTTATTGCTCATTGGCCCAAAGAGTTCCTTTTTTTTCCTGCTGAGAGGCTTCCACCTCAAGGGAGTGGGGAGAGGAGCACAAACTGGCCTAGGAACTGGTCTGTGAACTGCCTGCAAACTGCATACCCTGTTTGCAGCCCCTGTTCACTGGCTCCATGGTCACTTGGGGAGTCTCCTTTTATACCCTGCTAGACTTGGGCTGCTTCTGTCCCCTTGTTAGGGCTTCTGTCAGGCCCAGGCAGCAATCATTCAGCAAGCAGCAATCTCTCCCAGCTTCTCAGAGCACACACTCCAAACACATACATCCCACCTAACAAACACTCAGCAAACTAAAGGCACAGTCAGCTGGATCACTTACCTTCCCTGGGTAGGATCTGGTTCCTGGTGCCTGGCTTCTCTCCCCCTTCCTCCTCTTGCCCCCAGTAAACTGCCTGCAAACTGCTTAGCCTGTTTGCAGCCCCTGTTTGCTGGCTCCCTGGTCATCTCAGTAAACTGTTCTATTCTGAAAATAATGATTTAAAGATTTAGAAAATTAATAGTTCTCATGTGACTTGCTGTTCTGAAACTCAGCATTATGGCCAGCTTTGGTCTGAAAAAGTTGGAGAATCCTAGTCAGATCATATGTTGCAAATTTTGTCCAACACTTTTTTAAAATTCTATCTTATTCTACCTCTCCTGTGAAAAATACAAATTCAAATAATCTATTTTGGGGCATTTTAGAAAGTATCATGTGTCTTGTTACTTTTGTCACGTACGTCACTATTGGTCTCTTTAGCTATCTGTTGTTTCTTTTCATAGTTTGCGATTTATTAGGAAGAGGCTCTTTGTTCTATTGTGTATTGGGGGAGGGGGGAAGGTTACCTTACCTACCATGATTGGGTCTCCAGATATGACTGAAATATGAATACAAGTATAATGGACAGTTCTGGTCTTTATCAACTTGGCAGGCTCCTTCAATTTCCTGGTAGTCTAATTAAGCATTAGTTAGATCCCAAGGCCCCCAAGGCAAACTTGTGGAATTTGTATTTAAACTGTGGTATTAGTTCAGTCCAATTTATTTTTAATCCCCAATTCTTTTGCAATTCAAATAATAATAATACTAAAAAAATGGAAGTGGGTTGCCACATTTTACCCCAAAGGAATAACACCAAGATTATTTATAAAGATTATTTAAAGTGAAAAATAATTAAATAAACCTTAATTTTGTATATTATGAAGCTTTCTGACCAGTGAAAGTGCATTCTGGTCTATTAGGTGTTCCACATATACACCATTTCATGATTTTTATATGCTATCCTGGAATTTCATCAGGAGTTTAATAGTATTGACAAATATATCAAATCTTAGTAAGTATTAAGTAGTATTAAGTAGCAGCAAGTGAACATCAAGCTGCAACACAGGAAGATTACGTTAGATATTAGGACAAACATTTTCATTAGGAGGGTAGTAAAGAACCCCTACAGGTTTTCCAGAGAGGTTGTGAAATCTCCATCCCTGGAGGCTAGACAAAGCATTGTCTGGGATGATCTGGTTGGGGATGGTTCTGTTTGAGCAGGAGGTTGGACTAGATGACTTCATGAGGTTCCTTTCAACCCTATTTTTCTCTGATTACCTGTGGGGCTTCCAAAACATTATCGCCTGTAAGAAAATAGCTATCTCTTGTAGGTATCTGACTTACTTTATAGAAACAGTTATTTCTATCTTCAGAGTTATAATGGATTTCCTAAAATGGCTATTGTATAACTATATCTACTTCTGAAGTAGAGTATTTAAAAAAAATAAATGACAGGTTTAATTTTACCAAAATAATGTAATAAGTAAACTAGGTTTAATGTGACTTTTTTTTTCCTACTGAATTATTTTAAATGAATTAAGAGACTCATTGTTACTATCTCATTGTTGTAATCTCCACTGGGGATTATAAAGTACTGAGTGGGCATGTCTACACTTTCATTAATGTGCCTTAGATACTACACTTTTAGTTTAGTACTTCCTTCATGAAGTACTAACTGAATGTGCAGTAACAGAGTTATTGCGTAGTAGTGCCAACGCACAGTTACTTACTGATGCTTACTGCTCATTAGCTTAATAACATTATGCAGTAAGCTATTGGCATGGTTTTTACCATGAGATGCTATTGCACAATGTTATTATGCCAATGTGCAGTAAGTGTCTTTCACAGGTGCTAGGATTCATAGATGCTAAGATCAGAAGGGACCTCAACAGATCATCAAGTCCAACCCCCCTGCATAGGCAGGAAAGGGTGCTGGGGTCAGATGACCCCAGCCAGATGCCCATCCAGCCTTCTCTTGAAGACCCCAAATGTAGGGGAGAGCACCACCTCCTTTGGAAGCCCATTCCAAATTTTGGCCACCTATACCGTGAAGAGGTTTTCCTGATATCTAGCCTAAATCTGCTCTCTGTCAACTTGTAACCACTGTTCCTTGTTACCCCAAGAGATGCCCTGGTGAACAGAAAATCTCTGATCCCTTGCTGCGCCCCCTAATGAATTTATAGGTAGCCACAAGATCACCTCTCAGCCTTCTCTTGTGGAGGCTTACAGGAGAAGCCCTCTCCTCATAGGGCTTCTCCTGTAAGCTCCTGACCATACAAGTCACCCTCCTCTGGACCCTGTTGAGTCTATCAACATGCTTCTTGAAGTACGGCACCCAAAACTGAAGGGAAATATCCCCTTGTGGCGTGTATTCTGTAGACATGCCCACTATCATGAAGTCATTTGGCCAAACTCATAACTTCTTCCAGTATTTCTTATAGAAAA